CAACGGCGGTGGTGATAGGGATGGGGCGGGGTTGGAAGAGGAAGAAGAGGTGGTCCTTTTGGGACCGGTGCCACTAAGAATGGTGGTGTGTGGTGGCAGTGGCAACAGTGGGAAGTTGTTGCCGTCATAGTCGAGAAGGGGGGCTGTTATGAGGAGAGAGAGAGAGAGAGAGAGAGAGAGTTTTTAGATATTTAAAACTATTTTTGAAATAATTACGGTTGTGCCACTGAGCTTCTTTTGATCATAACTTTTTCATTACAACTCCAAATCGAGCCCACTATGTGTCTACGGACTCATCTCGGTACGATCTATGTAATAGTACTAGTCACTTCTCCAAAATCCTTCCAGATTAAAAAGTAATCAAATTACCCCTACCCCCGAGGGCAAAATTGAAATTTCACAATTAGTTAAATTAATTAATTTAGATGGATAATTAAATTAGGTTTGGGGTGTTACAATTCTCGATTCCACAATAGCAACAATAGGATCTAAATCACAAATTTCACGGCATCTCGACTTTACCTTGTGGAAACACTTAGCAATCGTTATGTCACGTTGTGCAACTAATAGAAGCTCATTCTCAAGATGCTTTAGTCTCGTGTCAGTCTTCGTTGAAAATAGTATTGCAAAGGTGTCCCATGCTTTTTTTTTGGTGTTTTGGCTTTTCTTATGTGTTCCAATATTTCTTCTTCAATTATGGTCTTTAGGACAAATATGGCTCGTATAACTTCCACTTACGTAAAGTGTCATTGTTGTCTCATATAACTTCATTACTCCCGACGACATCCCAAAGATCTTGACCTTACGACTCTATACACATTACCCACGTGTTGTAATTTTTGTTGTCGAGCTTCTTGCTTTCTCTAACTACGTGAAGATCACCCATCATGTTGACAGAGTTTCGGCAAGACCAAACAAGCTTGATCGAAAGATGCAAACTTGTAGAGACAATTTCCTTGCGACTCAAGGAAGCTCTATCAAAATCAATCCCTAAGCGTCCCGCTCTGATACCCTGTTGAGAAATTAGAGTACAAAACTCTAATATATAATTGTTGGAGACAAACAAGTGAACAAATTACTTGTATTGAACTCACAAAACATTACAACAAAATAACTCTAAAAAATAGCCCACAATTTTTAGAAGTTGATACCTTTCCTCACTTTCTAGAGACAAACTCTAGAACGCTCACACTCCTCACAAAAACTACTCAAATTTATGCTCTATAGCTTATTGCTTATGCTTCTTCTTCTTTTTATTAATTGATTGCATAAGAAGGACATGCACTCCTATTTATAAATGCAAGTGGTTGACTTATCCCACCAACTTGGGATATTAACTTCAATCCTAGCCACAACGTTTACAAACCTACTCTACACACATTATTACAACTTTAGTATAATATCATTATTTTACCAACTTTACTTTACCAAGTCATTAAGCTCTTCTCAATTGTTCTGAATATTTCTTCTTTCTTCAAGACACAAGTGTTATTAATATTTCTATGGGTTGGGCTGTTTAAACATTAATGTAGTTGGGGTTGATTTTTAACATAGCATTCTAATCCAACCCTTTAAGTTAAATTCACTCAGCTCATATCAATGAGGTGACATAAAGTTCCAATTGATACGACATGCTTATTCTGCAATGGTCTAAGGGAGACTACCACACACCTATTACGTGACTATCCTTTCTCCGTTTGTGTATGGTTCAGCTTTCTGAGAAGATACAAAGTTCTGATTTTTGCTCTTTTATCATGATTGGTTAGGCTATCTGGGAGGCACACAATGATCTATTATAGAACAATAAAACGCAGTTATCGGTGGTTGTTGGTTGTGGGGCTATCATTTTGTTACAATAATTTTTGCAGGCGTGCAATTCGGAATGAGGAGTTGGCTTTGTTGTACGTGACTCAAGGGGAACTTTTATGGCTAGGCGTGCATAACGTTGGTATAATATTTTCTGTGTCTCATATTGAGGTGTTAGCTGCCCGTTTGGGTGCAGCTTTGGGGGTCAAGAGGGGTTTTAATCATGTTAGTTTTTAGAGCAATTGTCTTTATATCATATTAGCTCTTCACGAGAATCTACTAACAGATCCCTTTTCGGTCTAGAAGGCCATATTGACTCAGATCATTGGGGAAGGTTTTATCCATATCCACCTAACTGCAAATGAGGTGGCTCTTGCATTGCACGCTTTGCAAAGCATATTGGAGCTTCTGTTAGTTGGTTTGAGAACCACTAGATTTTCTTGTTAAACTTTTATTTGAGGATTGTAATTTGTAACATGTAGGTTTTATGGGTTAGTCGCTAGAGGGACCGGGAGCTCTATTGAGGCCAAGTTCTTTCTCCTCCTTGTGGTTGAGAGGGTAAGGCTAGTGAGGTAGTCGACAACCAAAACGCCCATTGGTGTAGAGGTACTCGCCTAATCCTCTAGGACATTAGCCCGATTTTTTTTACTAGTTACTCTTATATTGATATATTTTAGGTTTATAAAATGAAACT